GAGCAGGGAGCCCGATGCGGGACTCGATCCCGGGACTCCAGGATCATGACCTGAGCCGAAGGCAGTTGCTTAACCAACTGAGCCACCCAGGCGCCCGAAGCAGATATTTTAAAGCAAGAATTTTCACATGATATTGTCTCTAATCCTGGACTATAAATAAGTAAAATGTATGTGAAGTATATTAAAAGCTCTATTAAAACTTCTTAAATTTTGTGCAACTTAATTGTTTTATCCACCTGAGACCCCATTCTATATTTATGTTAATTTAGAATCTTGTAAGTGTATTCACCTTCAGATTATGAATCTCAACATTTATATGAGTGACCAAACTCCTGAATTAGCAATTATAGATTTATCTAGCATGTACAAATACAGATAATTCCCATATCTATCAACTACTTTTTGGCTCACCAGATTTTCTCTTAATTAAGCCTTAAAATATGTGAGTTAATCAAGACTAAAATACTTGAATCCAAGTCTACTCCACACTATGTCATATCCCAATATAACGAGAAAACTAGTTATCTACCTAATTCTTGTTTATTCATTTAAACATTTTAGTGCCTACCAATTGGCTGTAAATTCCTTATGCATGAGATTATGTCTTCTATTAATTATTTATTTATTAACTCTGCCTAATAACTGTTAAAAACCTACAAAAGGCCAGCAGAAACTGCCAATAAGACATTGCGAAAAAATAAATTTTGATTAGAGAATGGAGGGACATATAAAGAGAACTTCTAACTAATATGCATGGAACTTAGCAACCACTCTGTATATTGGGCTACAGAATAAAGGTGAGAGTTAGCTGCAGCATCCACTATAGCCCAAAACATATGGCTCTATTTAGTATACGCAACAGTCACAGACTATTCAGACTCAGATGAAATAGTTAAGCAATTTTTAAAATATTTGAGTTAGGCATTTTTAGAAGGCAAATTATAGGCTAAAACAGAAATGTCCTACAATGGGAAAATAATTAAAACATAGTACATCTTCATGATTAAAATATGTGACTGATACGGCTGTTAAAAAATGTTTTTGAGATATACCAAAAGTCTCACAGAACTGGTAATATGATTACCATTACAAAAAAACTAGAAGTTAATTGTGCATATTGGATATGTCTGTGGCACCTTACCACTAGACACACTGCATTCACAATTTTTATAAGGGCAACTTACAAATTAACAATTAAATACCATAATTCCAGCAATTAAAAACATTTGAAGTAAAAAGTCCTCCTTGCCCTATTAATGGGTGAAACTGACCTTACACTTACCCACAACAGTGTATGTATTTGGAATTTAAGAAGGCTCCAATTACCTATGATCTAGTGTATTATTACCATTTTAACTAGGCTATAACTGAAAATAGGACAAAGAGAAAGTCAAAATTAGTTGTAATTTTTTAATTAGGACTTTTGGGGAAGTAGTTTTAGGTTTATAGAAGATGTGCCCTCCCCTTATTTTTTTACATCTTTTTGAGGTGATGGAAATGTTTTAAAATTGATTGTGGTGATGGTTACACAAGTCTGATAGACTAAAAACCACTATATTATATATGCTTTTTTTTTTTAAGATTTTATGTATTTATTTGACAGAGAGAGAGCGAGAGAGGGAACACACGTAGGGGGAGTGAGAGAGGGAGAAACAGGCTTCCGGCTGAGCAGGGAGCCCAATGTGGGTCCTATCCCAGGACCCCGAGATCATGACCTGAGCTGAAGTCAGATGCTTAACAACCGAGCCACCCAGGCGTCCCTTATATATGCTTTAAATAAGTGAATTGTATGGTATGGAAATTATATCTCAGTGAAGATTTTAATTTAGTTTTATTATGTTAATCACCATACATTACATCATTAGTTTTTAATGTAGTGTTCCACGATTCCTTGTTTGTGTATAACACCCAGTGCTCCATTCAGTACGTGCCCCCCTTAATACCCATCACCAGGCCAAACCATCCCCCTACCCCTCTCCCCTCTAGAACCCTCAGTTTGTTT